TCTCAACTGCACTTGCTAATGTTCTGGATCTTACTGAGGACGATACTGAGATGGACACTGTGAGTGCTTGCGAAACCGAAGACGTGAAACCTTTGAGCAACACAAACAGGGTTAATCAAACTGTTGCTGCTCATTTAGAGGATGACTTTTGGTCTGGAATTTACTTTGCTAATGGTTCGTTAGCCTCCGGTATAAGGTCAGACACGCAAATGGGTGGTGTTATTCCTCACACTGGTCCTGCAAATTTGCAGTCACCTGTGTTGACTGATGCTGTTTCTCCTGCACTCGATCGAGGAACTGAGAGTCATTTGACCACTGATATTGTGGCGTCTGCAATGCATCAATTTTCTTCTCCCAATAATTTTCAGTGGCAACAGTCACAGTTTGCAAGTTCAGCTGCTAACAATGAGTATGGGAGATTTGCATCACAGAGAGTATTACCCAGGACTCCAACGGCAGTTCAGGCCCTCCCTGCACAGTCCCAGGGACCAGGTTTGCAACAAAGACCAAGAACTAGTTGGAATTCCTCAACTCCCTCTAGTGCCTCTCTTAGTTCTCAGGTTGGACAATCTATCACACCCTCAGCAAATTGTGCCAATGCAGTATGTAGTGATTTGGAAAGGCAGCAACACTTTTCTAGGCCCCGAATGAATCCGCTTCAAGTGTCAAACATTGCTTCATCTTCACTGCAACATCCCTCACAAACTACACAGGTTAGTGCTCCCTCTTTTCTTGATGTCCATTTTGTTATGGTGGTTGCAATCTGTATAAATGCAAATGGGAAACCCTGGACGCTGGACCTGAAATTGACTTGGTTTAATCAGTATTTTCCAGTTTGATTGGTTGTTGGTCAAAGCATTCTAGAGGATCTTTTCTTGTTCTACACTTTAATGTTACCGAGTTTCGTTTCATTAATCTTACAGAACTGGGATCGTCAAGATCAGTCCTTCATTCACGGGCAATCTGTCCAACAGGTTGTGGGCCTTCCAGTTCCGAGTCAACTGCAAAGTGCTAACAGAGCATCTCCTGGGCTCATGGACTTCCAGAATGCACACTTACAGCAAGCTTTTAATAATGCAAGGACTCCCCAGACTATGGGTCAGTCTTCAAGCTCCATTCGATCATCTTCACATCTCTCACGGGCACATATCCAACAAGGAAATGCACAAGTTGGGACTGGTCAAACATCAAGTTCTTTAAACAACCAACAGAGGTTCATGGCTGGTGCTCACCTAGCTGCGATGATGGCCAGGCAGTCTCCATCCATGCCAGTTCAAAATCAAACTCAGAGAACCAGGCCATCTTTGCCAGTAAACGTAGGAGGTACGATGCAAGCAGTTTCTGGGGCTGATGGATCAGTTGATTTGTCATCTGAGCAGAACTGGCGACCAACAGGTCGTATGCGTGGAAGTCTATCAGGTCGGGCTTACAGTGCTGCTTTCAACCAGTTCATAATAGCGCCAACCCAACCCACTCAAGCGGCGAGACCTCCACCAAATCTGACATCTCCACCACCTGTTGTTCCGTCCCAACCACAGACATTGATTGGCAATATGAGTGCTCAGGTTCCTCAAACGCATAATAGTCATCCTCAATAGGGTGATCTTGTCTTCATTCTGCCGGGGAGTTCTTTTACGCTGCCGTACATAGTATAGTAGGTCAATTTTGTATTCAGTGGTAATTGGTAAAGTTATTTTAGGAGTATGCTTTTGTCTATTACGTGATATTCAGGGCTTCTGAATCTGGCGAGTTTCGACCCTAGAAAAGAAGAGAGAATTGAGCCATTTTGGGGTCAGCTTGTAAAATTATAGTGTGCAGGTTTTGACAGAATTAGTGGTAATGATTTTGTAGTTGGCAGATTGTACCTCTGGTGTAATTGTCCATGTTAGTCTTTTTGAACTTCACATAGCCGACGGTTATGATGTTAATTTACACTGGCTCTTTACCAGAATGAACAATCTGAGTGAATTATCTTCCAAGTAAAAATCTAAACTGGTTATAATGGTTATTGAACTTTTCAAGAACTCAAAGAGTGCTAAAGTCAGTCACGCATGGGCATGCGGATGCACTTCCCTGCCACCCTGCCTGTAGATGTCCTTGCGCACGCACGACCGATCGTAGCAAAACTGGTTAAGCTGGATGACACATTCCATTTTTAAAATAACAACTCTCCATCATAATAAATGAACTAGATTTGAAACCATGAACGAATGTATCCCAACTCCCAACAAAAGCCGGTGCAGGTGCAGTGCAGCACTTGACTTGATTAATCATTCTGCACGACATGTCGTTTCTTTTTTCTACTGATGATCCTGGGAGAGAGGCAGGCGGAGTGCCCGTTTAGTGAGCCACACTTCTGACGTCTCTATACTCGGCTTACTCAGCCACGACGAGCCACCCCCAACCCCAACTCTCGCAAACGTCTTAACGTTTCGAATGTGATCTCACTTGCTGCGACTCACTGAGTCATGAAGTGCCGATCCGTCGCGTGCATATGGTCAGGCACGCCTCCCTCTCACCGAGTCACAGCCGCTGCAGCTCTCAGCCACCCCCCAACGCTCTACACCGGCGGATCCGATGGTTCCATCATCTGGTGGAACCTCCATTCTTCCGATTCCAACTTGGTAATTTCACTCGCTCACCACCTGTTTGTTATTTGTTCTTGAATTTCATTGCGAATGTGATCTCCCTTACTTGTTTGCTTAGTTTAATTTGCTTAACAAGAGTTTCTTAGTTGAATTCTGTAATTTGTATAATTGTTTCCAAGTATGGTGTTTATCGTTGAACGGTTTTGTGTTGACAATTCTTGTTTGGAGCAGGAGATTGTTCCAATGGCTATGTTGTGTGGCCATGCTGCGCCCATAGCCGACCTTGGCATTTGTGATCCACTTGTGGTTTCGGGGAGTGAAGGAAGAGACTCTTTAGGAGATGGTGATGGTGATGGTGATGGTGAGGTGAGCTCTAGCCCCCATAGTCATGGTGCGTTAATCAGTGCGTGTGCTGATGGCATGTTGTGCGTGTGGAGCAGAAGCAGCGGGCATTGCCGGCGCAGAAGGAAGTTGCCACCTTGGGTTGGCAGTCCGTCCGTGGTTAGGACATTGCCTTCGAATCCACGGTATGTATGTATTGCATGCTGTTTTGTTGATAGTGTGCATTTGTTGGACCATCATTCTGTTGAATCAAGTGAAGCGGGGGAGGTGTTGGGGGATAGAGAATCTCAGCATAAGAAACCCCCCAAATGCACTGTGGTTATTGTTGACTCCTATACGCTTAGCATTGTCCAAACTGTTTTTCATGGAAACTTGTCTATTGGTTCATTGAAGTTTATGGATGTGGTTTCATTAACTGAGGATCAGGAGAAGCATGCTGTAGTTCTGGCAGATTCATTTGGTAGGCTACAGCTGGTTTCAATACCAAAGAATCCGCACCAAGATAAGGAGGGTGGCACTGGTTTGCATCCAAGTTCTCAGTTGGAAATGACTGTTTGTGCAGAGGGATTAAGTGAGGGAGGAAATGTAATGTCAATTGCAACTTGTGGGAATGTTGTCGCTTTTGTGTTAAAAAGTCGCTGCATATTTAGACTATTGCCTAGTGGCAATACAATAGGAGAGATTTCTTCTGTGGACGATCTCCTTTGTGAAAAAAGTAATTCTACTCAATCACATATGGTGGGTGGTTTGTTTTTTGAAATTGAAAATGTTGGCAATTTACCAAATACCCAAGAATCTGATGAAATTTTTTCAAGAAACTTTGCTATTTGGAATAACAAAGGTCTTTCAGTTGTTTACTCGATATCATATTCTAAAGGTATGTTTAAGTGTGAGTCACTCTGTGAGATCCCTGCCGACACTCATCCACTTGATGTGAGACTATCAATTAGTTTCATTCAAATGGGCCATTATATTCTTCGCATTGAATCACTTTGCTTTGATGCTGAAGAACCTTTACAGTGGAAACCCCATGTTACAATCTGGTCTACATGTCGGAAACATGATGACCATGGGAATTTGTGCCTATGGTTTAAATTGCATGGCGTAGGCTGTTCTTTGGTAGACTGGACTGCAAATTCTACCTCAAGTAATGAATCTGAGTGCCCAGGTGATATGGAGACCAAACTAACATCTTCAAAATCTTGTGTTTCAAGCTCAGGAAGTGTAAATGGTTATGATAATGACAATCTTGGTTTAGTTAATAAAAGAGGGGTTGTGTCTTCTTCCATGGTTATTTCTGAAACATTCTTTGCTCCTTATGCTGTTGTGTATGGCTTCTTTACTGGAGAAATAGAGATTGTTCGATTTGATTTGTTTGAGGGCCTATCTTCTCTTGGTGGGAGCTCACATCATGAGGTGAAGCCGCAAATATCTAGACAGTTCTTTTTAGGGCACACAGGTGCTGTTCTCTGTTTGGCAGCACATAGGATGGTGGGTATTGCCAAAGGGTGGAATTTCAATCAGGTTTTGGTGTCTGGAAGCATGGATTGCACAGTTCGCATATGGGATCTTGACACTGGAAATCTGATCACTGTAATGCACCAACATGTGGGCCCAGTGCGCCAAATAATTCTTCCCCCAGCTCATACCTACTGTCCTTGGAGTGATTGTTTTCTCTCAGTTGGGGAGGACTCATGTGTTGCACTAGCTTCTCTTGAGACTTTGCGAGTAGAGAGAATTTTTCCTGGGCATCCCAGCTATCCTGCAAAAGTTGTATGGGATGGTGGAAGAGGTTATATTGCGTGCTTGTGCCGAAACCATTCAGGAACATCTGATGCTGTTGATATTCTGTACATTTGGGATGTAAAGACAGGTGCTCGAGAGCGAGTCCTTCGAGGAACACCATCTCATTCAATGTTTGACCATTTCTGTAAAGGCATCAGCATGAATTCCATTTCTGGAAGTGTATTGAATGGGAATACCTCAGTTTCCTCATTACTTCTTCCAGTAATTGAAGATGGGATCTCTACTCACTCTCATCCGAATAATTCAGAAAAATTGGGCACTTCAACAAATTTGGTGCCTGGTACTATGGTTGAGTCCAATACTTCCAGAACTAGTAAAGGTGATTCTGAAAAACTATTTCCAGCCCCTGCGGCGACCCTTCAAAGCAACAAGCATCCAATCAAGTCCTATTGCCCTTTCCCTGGAATTGCTGCTCTGAGTTTTGACCTTGCATCATTAGTGTTTCCTTATCGGAAGCATGACCTGATAGCAAGTGGCAGTGATAATAAACAGGATAACTATGTGAAGGGACAGGGATCTGAGACATCAAGTCCCCACCACAAGCCTTTAGGTAATGGACCTGGTGTGCATAGGACCTCGAATGCGATTGTTGAAGAGATTGAATGGATTAAGACGCTTGAAGAATGTTTACTTCGATTTAGCTTGGCATCTTTACACTTGTGGAATGTAGATCCCGAGCTTGATAACTTGCTTATAACTGACATGAAGTTGAAGAGACCCGAAAGCTTTATTGTAGCTTCTGGTTTTCAAGGCGACAAAGGGTCTTTGACGTTGACATTTCCTAATTTGAGTGCAACTCTTGAGGTACGTTTGAAGAATGGCACTAATTGTTGAGACATGTCTTCTTGTTTGGCTTCTTTTAAATTTTCCTGAGAAATTGAAAACAACATTTCAGCTTTGGAGAATGTCATCAGAGTTTTGTGCAATGAGGTCACTCACAATGGTGTCTCTTGCCCAATGCATGATTAGCCTATCACACACCAGTTCCAATGCCAGCAGGTGATCTCAAAACTATATTTTCTGCATATGAAGTGTAATGGTCCTTTTCTTTTTTTCTTTTTTTCTTGTTTCTAATGTTCACTCAAAGTCATTGCATTTTCCTTGTCTGATGTTTTCTTTTGGCAGTGCTTTAGCAGCATTTTATACTAGGAACTTTGCAGACAAAATTCCAGATATAAAACCACCCTTACTTCAGGTTGAATCTTGTGCTGATGATTTTGATTGCTCTTAAATGCTTATATTTTATTTTCCTTTCCCATTGTTAGGGCAAAGGAGATTGCTTCTAAACTTATTTGAACTACTTTTGCTTGAAGTCAACCCCTCTCTCCTTTCCTTTTCCAAGAAAGAAATACAGTTTAGAGAGATCTTAGGAGTAAAGTACCCTTTTTACTTGATAATTGATCCCCATAATTCAGAAATATTACCTACGCTGTATTATGTCTGAAAAATGGGTCAGTGTAAATCATGTTGTTGACAAGACTCACCACATAAGGGTATAGCAGTTATAAATAGTCGATAAGCTGCTGGTTACTGATGTCTATTTCTAATATTAAATGTTGGGCTAGTTTTTGTGCTTAGAATTCTTTTCCCACCTGGTTGTTTTACAAAAGGGTAGAGAGCAGTCAGTTACTTTCAAACTATTGACATTTAAGTTTTAGATGAAAACATTAATAAGGAAGTGGAGAGATTAAAGCACTAAGTGTACACATGATATCTGTTTAGTTGGTGAGAAGATGGGAAATTTTTTCAAAAATTGGAATTATCAGTTCCAGCCCCAGATATTTACAAAAAATTCTGCTGTAAAGTTCATCACCTTTTGATTTTTCTTTAAAAGAGCAGCAACATTCTTAATGGTTGTAACT